TGTTTTGTCATGCCTACCTTTCTGGGTGCCTGACCCCGGTCGCTGGCAGATAAGGAAAACCCAAACCACAAGATGGTTTTCCAGTGCCATTGCTCCCTGAAATCTCTCTGAAGGGGCCAGGTTCTGGCGCTGGTTCCTGGTAGGTCTGAACTCCTTAGTTAATGTCCCGGTCTAATATAACATAATACATTAGCCCGATAAGCTCCAGGGAGCCTCCGGGGCTCACCCAGAAAATGGCGTTTCATTACATTCAACATTTTTTTTTTTAGTTTCCAGTGATGAGTGACTACATTTTAACAATATAAGAAGACAATAATTTTTTGGATATAATTTATTTTCATTGCACCACTGGGTGTCTTATTTTAGTGCAGTGCAGCACAATGGTTAATGAGGATAAGTTCCAGTTATGTACAGTACTGTGCTGTGGAAAAAAGAAAACATCAAAGCAGATGCCACATATAAAACACAATCAAACTGCACTATTGAAGGAAAAAGCAATGTAAAAGATTTATGAGTAATCGTGTCAGAAAACCTTATTTTTAACCCATTTAAGTGCGCTGGATTATAATTTGACACTCCTGTGGTGCCCTGGAAAAATTATTTCCCCAAAATATTATTTTATCTTGTATTGTTAATAAAATGCGATCTCTAATCTGGGAAACAAAAATAAAATATTGTATGTGACATTCTTTACCTGTGATGGAGCTGAGTAGTTGAGAAAATTATGAACACTGAGTGAGTAGGTGCTCGTGATCACTCGACCACCCCATAGGGTGCCACCTATGTGCCACCTATTAACTGCCACCCCATAGGGTGGCAGTTACTGCAAATATAATTTTTCATAATTATTTCAATGTCTTTCATTGGTTTTTACTCTGGTTGTTTAGTATAATAATATTCAAAAGTATGTAATTTGAGAAATTTAAATAATGAAATGTGTGAAACATTGCTATACTAAAAAATATGGGCTCATATATACTGACACATTATATTCTTATATCAGTCAAGCAGTGTTTTTGCTATTACAGTACTATACTATATTCACACTTCATATATAACTACTTTCTTGCACACCATAGTGAACCATAAAGATCATGTGTTGAGAGTTTATTATACACTACAAAAATTCAAGATCAGGCATGCAGCCGACAGCTGAGTGTAGCAGGGGGGTTCCCCAAATACATTTTTACATGCCGGTAATTATTTCAGTGTCTGTGAAATGTTTTATATCTAGTTTTCTGTGGAAAGCCCCCTCCGGCTCCCTGGAGCTATCAGACTGACATACGCTATACTAGTCTGGGGCATCAGTCAATGGAGTTCAGTCTACCGGGGATCACAAGCCAGAACCTGGCCCCCACAGAGAGTCACAGGGGTTCAGGGACTGGCTTGGTTTTGTTGTGGCGCTTCATGCTTACTGCTTTCGTTGTCTTCCGTTCAGCTTGAACCTGGCACCTTGTGTTTTCACGCGCCTCACATGGGTCGTGGTGACCCGTCTGCGTCTCTTAGGTGTTCGGGTGTTGGCCTACCTCGACAACTGGCTGGTTTGGAGTCCCAACCAGTCCACTTGTCTGCTAGCCAGGGATCTGGTTCTTTCTCAGCTCGCCGGGTTCGGGTTGCTGGTGAACTGGAGGAAGTCCCATCTGGTTCCCTCCCAGGTTCAGACCTGGCTGGGCCTTGTGTGGGACTCTCGGACCGCTTCTTTGTCTCTTCCTCTGGAGTCTCTTCTGTGGCTGTGGTCCCACTTGTGCCTGTTTCTGGGTGGCTCCCGGGTCTCCCAGCGGTTGCTCGAGGGTCTGTGCGGGAGGCTGAACTTCGCGATGCTGGTCTACCCGCTGGGTCGGGTTTGACTTCATCGGCTGTTCTGGTTCATTCGGGGACGTCCCTTCCGCCTCAACCGCGATCGCTGGGTTCGGACCCCGGGGGCTTTGCGTCGGTTGCAGCGTCACCGGCTTCCTCTTCGGGTTTTTTGGGGTTCAGTGCTGTGGCGCCTACCCGAGCCCTCGCTCGATGTGTTCACGGACGCGTCGTCTCTCGGCTGGGGCTTTGTGACCAGTGCTCACCAGGCCGGCCAGGGTCGGTGGGGTCCGTCCTTCCGTCGAGCCCACAGCACTGTGCAGGAGTTCGCGGTAGTGTGGTTTGCTCTTCGGAGGATTCGAGTCGCCCACGGGTCGACGATCCGGCTCCATTCGGACTGCTTCCCGGTGGTTCATTGTCTGAACCGGGAGGGTTCGATGCGGCCCTTGGCTCTTTGACGCTGGTCGCTTCGGGTGACTCGTCTGCTGAGTTCTCAGGGTTTGGCTTTCCTGGCAGTTCATGTGCGGGGTGTGTCCAACATCTTGGCCGACGGCCTGTCTTGTTTTGTTTCCCTCTCCACGGAATGGACAGTCAATGCCGACTCCTTCTGTTGGCTTTGCCAGACGTTCGGACGCCCCGAGGTGGACCTCTTCGCGTTGGCGTGGTCACGGTGCCTTCCCCTTTATGTGGCGCCCTTTCCCAACTGCGAGGCCATCGGTGTCAACGCCTTTCGGCAGGACTGGTCGAGGTGGGGGTTCCTGTACCTCTTCCCCCCCGGTTCAGCTGTTGCTCCAGGTCCTGACTCGCTTAGAGACTTACCAGGGGAGAGTTGTCCTTCTGGCCCCTTGGTGGCCGGCCCAGCTATGGTTTCAGGCGCTGCTTGCTCGGTGTCTGAACCCGGAGGTTTTTCCGCAGCTCCGCCTCTTCCAGCAGATTGGCCCGGTACATCACGTGGCTGGTTCGATCTTTTCCTCGAGTCTTCGCGTATGGTCTTTTTTGACTCGAGTGTATCATGATCTCTATGGTGATCTGGTGGCTTCCTTATTAGTGTCCTACTTGTGGGTTTCGTCTCGGCGGCAGTATGAGGTTTCCTGGCGGTCCTTCTGGTTCTTCTTACGTCTTCGTCGTTGTACTTCGCTTTCCGTTCGGGTGGTGGTGTCCTTTCTCTCTTGGTTGTTCCAGGACTGTCTTCTTATGCCTAACACTGTCGCCTCATATCGTAATTACCTAAGTGTAATTACCTAAGCGTAGTTACAGGATGAGAGCTACGCTCATGGTGTCCCGTCTTCCCAGCACTCTTTGTCATATAACGTTTTGAAACTACTGACGGTCTTGACCTCCACCACCTTCTCACCTAACTTGTTCCAACCGTCTACCACTCTGTTTGCGAAAGTGAATTTTCTTATATTTCTTCGGCATCTGTGTTTAGCTAGTTTAAATCTATGACCTCTTGTTCTTAAAGTTCCAGGTCTCAGGAAATCTTCCCTGTCGATTTTATCAATTCCTGTTACTATTTTGTATGTAGTGATCATGTCACCTCTTTTTCTTCTGTCTTCTAGTTTTGGCATATTTAATGCCTCTAACCTCTCCTCGTAGCTCTTGCCCTTCAGTTCTGGTGCGGCGCTGGCGGAGCCGCTTCAGCTTGCTTTCGGTATTGATGTCACATCTGCACCGTTTCACAAGCTGTCTCGGGCGTTCTTTCACCTCCGGCCTGCTCATGCGCCGCCTGAGCCATCCTGGTCTTTGAACAGAGTGCTCTCTAGTCTTTCTTCTCCTCGTTTTGTTGTGGCCCCCCTCGGTTCCGGATTGTTTTTCGAAGGCTCTTTTCCTGTTGGCATTGGCCTCTGTGGGTCGGGTGGGTGAGCTTCATGCTCTCCTCCAGCGCAAAGGTTTCTGCTCCTTCGATCGAGGCGATCATTTTGTTCGTCTGCAGCCTTTTCCTTCTTTTCTGGCGAAGAATGAGACTGCTGCATTCTGGAGGGGTCCCTGGGTTGTTGATGCTTGGTTGGTTCGGCCGGGGTGCATCATGTTTTGTGTCCGGTTGTGGCTCTCCGCCGTTATTTGCGCGCCATGGCTTCTGTGTCCGTGGATGCGCTTTGGGTTGATCCAGTTTCCCTGCTTCCCTGTTCGAGGGTGTGGGTGTCCCAGGTCGTCCGGAGGGTTATTAAGGCTAGCCAGCCTGCGGTCTATCCCCGTGCCCATGACATCCACAAGTTCGTGGCTCTTGCCGCTGTCTTTGGCCATATGTCCTGGGCTGACATACGGGCGCGGGGATTTTGGCGGTCGAACAGGGTCCTGGCTGCTCGTTACCTTATAAACGTTCCTGGGCCCGGTCGGGCCTGTGTCGCTTTGGGTCGGCGGATGCAGCCAGTTGTCTCGAGTTGACGTAGGGTTGAGGAGTGAGCAGCAACCGCCTCCCGGGTAAGTCCCTATTCTTTCCTCTATGGGTAATTAGCTCCGGGGAGCCGTAGGGGCTCCCCCCAGAAAACCAGCATTGAAAGTAATGAAACGCCATTTTCTGGGTGAGTCCCGGAGGCTCCCCGGCATCCCTCCCGCCCTCCCTCCAGTTGGCATTTTTTTTGCGTGTTTTGACATCCAGCCTCAGAACTGAGGTGTGGATCGCCGGCGCAGTAGGTCTGGGGCTTCCCCTACACCCTCCCGGGGGAAGGGGGGCTGCGCAGACAGTGACACGACGACGAATGACGTCATACTAGTTTGCTCGTTTTTGTTTAGGGAGTTCTATCCACTCGTTCAGCTTCTGGTTGCAGTTTTCACCAGAATAGGGGTTTGTTTTGGGACGCCTACGTTTTTGGGTGCCTAACCCGGTCGATGGCAGACATAGAATGCTTCCAATTACACGGGGGTTTCTATAGGCCATTGCTCCCCTTGCCTCTCTAGAGGGGGCCAGGTTCTGGCTTGTGGTCCCCGGTAGGCCCATAAGAACTCCATACACATGACTGATGCCAAAGTCTAGCATTAACATATCAGCCTAGTAAGCTCCGGGGAGCCTCTGGGACTTATCCAGAAAATGGCGTTTCATTACATTCAACGTTGGTTTTTTTAAGCAAATGCAATTAGATTTATGTCTTATTTATGTTGGTGTATCAAGTCTGCCGACTTTCTTATATATATATATGATGCAATACAGAATGAACATAAAGTAAATTTTAAGCTGAGAGGTAATAGTGGTTTAAACCATTATATAGAACAGAAAGTGGGAACTCAAGTGGAACAGGAGCAGCAGGCTCGATCAAGACCTCCGGCCTGACACTGTACAGACAATCTACTGAGGACATTACTAGCACTCATCTCTCCAAGACCCGATTCAGGTAAGCTCTACATTTTGAGAAATTATTATATAAGAAATAATAAAGAATTTGGTATGCTAAGTATATAAAGTTTCTACATCATCCAAGTTTTAAGAATATTAATATTTATGAAGAAACATAGGAAAGCCTATGTTTCATAGGCTTAGGCTTTAACATAGGGCTCCCCATATGAATACTAATTTAATTTTTTTGGAAAATACACATCCATAACTAAAGATTTTACCATTTTTGGAAGTTCACACATTTTCATTAGCTTGTTGAGTAATGAATATTTATTTTATATGGTTGCTGCCTTGACTCTTTGAAATGATTTCCTTTCTGATGGATTTTGCTTGATCTTCTCTTCATCTAACCACTCCAAAAACAATTTTTATTGAGTGTTTTGACCCCCTGGGTCAAAACATTGACCCCAGGGGGATCAATGTTTTGGGGTCAAAAACAAAAAGCCTACATTGCCAACATTACGGATGAAAAAGCCCTGATAAAACTGGACTTCAAAAATGCTTTCAATCTGGTTAGAAGGGATGTAGTACTCAGTGCGGTTCATTGCTTTTTTCCTTCCCTCTACCCATTTGTAAACTCATGCTACAGCAAGAATCAAACTCTGCTATTCGAGGAACGTGAAATTGAATCACAAGAAGGTGTCCAACAGGGTGACCCCCTTGCTCCTTTTTTTTTCTGCCTAGTCATCAAGGAAGTCACCGATAACCTGTCCAGCGGGTTGGTGATGGTCTGGTTGTGAGAAGAGATTATATGTTCCTTGATGGAGCCCTGTTGCTTATGCATTGTTAATTGCCTGGAAAGAGACGTTGTTGTCTTGCCTATATACAGAGTTCCTTGGGGCTTACAGTCCCCAAGTGGGTATTTAACCCTTAAATGGCGCATGGCTATATACCATATGACACCCACAGGCGCAAAAAAAAAAAAAAAAAAAAAAAAAAAAAAAAAAAAAAAAAAAAATCTTTTTTCTTCCTAACCAGTTAATTTGTGTTCACTAATCATGGGAAAAATAATAAAAAAATCGTAAGTGGCATATATTGCCCGCTATAGGGCGGGGAAGTCTGGCAAAAACCTGGAGCTGACTCAGCGTGCGTCCCAGGCGGTCTGTTGATCGCCAGCTGTCAGGCCGGAGTTGCCACAAAGAGATAATTACCTAATTATTTCAATGTCTCTGATTGATTTTTCATAGTTTTTTTTGCTGTAATATTATTCAATAGTGTGTAGTTTGATATATTTATATAATAAAATGAGTGAATCATCGCTGTACTCAAAAATATGGGGTGCATATTGTTGGTTCAATTATGTTCATCAATCAGTGAACAAATACTTTGTCGGTTATTACACTATATACACAGGTTATATATAAGTATCTGCATGTTTTGTTCACCATAACGAACCACTAAATTGCTATTATGAGTCAAAAAGTAACGAGGAGTGACCGCCGAGTACCAGCCAGCCACTCACGCCCTTCCTCAAGTCACCCGACTCACCCACATTCTCCTCCCACTATACTGTTTTTGCTTTTATTCACTATATACAGACGCTATATATAAGTATCTACATTCGTGTTCACCATAACGAACCACTAAGTTGGTATGCTGAGTGGCAGTGGCAGTGGCAGGCAGTGGCAGCTTACCACTGGCTGCCACTCCCTCCCTCCCTCACCTCACCTGACTTGCCACCATTCTCCACCCACCATACTGTTTTTGCTCTTATATACAGACGTTATATATAAGTATTTACATGTTTTGTTCACCATAACTGTACATCTAAGCTTGTATGGTGAGTAAAGGCACAAAGACGTAGGACCTCACACAGTCAGCTGATGGCTGCCGTCCTCAAGGCCAGACGCACTAATATTTCTCCTCTAACAATACTGTTTGTGGTGTTATTACGCTATATACACACATTATGTATAAATATCTACCTGTTTCATTCACCATACTTGTACAAGTAAACTGGTATGGTGCCCAAAGATCATTGTGGCAACCAGTAAACAACACCGTCGTCTGCACGGTGGCGTCGTGCAGACGACACCACCACCCTCACCAAAATGGCGGCGCCCAACCTATTCCTCTTGCTGTTTATACCCTCTATTCACACGTTATATATAAGTATCTACATTTGTGTTCACCATAACGAACCACTAAGCTGGTATGGTGAGTGCAGTCAATAAAAGGTGACCACACACAGTCAGAAGACATCGCCACCACCCTCCCTCCTAAAGCATTACTCCTCCCACCATGGCGCACAGCGCTAAATATCACCACAATCCTGCTATTATCAGAACTCTGGTCAGTTTTATCACAGTCTGGGGTCTTCTGTAATAATATCATCGCTACATAATAGCATAAACAAGTATATTATGGCATTTTTAGGCGATGCTGTGGTCACAAGGTGAACAGCAGTGCTGTGAGCTCATGCTGCGTGCGTCAAGCTTGGTAGCTCACTCAATACTGATGCCCCTAACACCCGGGAATTTGGCCCACGATTTTTTTTTAAAATGGCGTCTGTTTACAATAGCCCTGATGAAGGTGTGGTGAACCCCGTGTATCCGCGGGCCGTTTAAATCTTGCGTAGTACTCCAAAGCATCACATAATGCGATGCGCAATTTACTGCAAGTCGGTCAAAGCATCATATGATGCGATGTGCAATTGAAAGGTTAACCCTTAAATGGCGCCTGGCTATTTAGCATGTGTCACTCACAGGTGCATACCCAAAAAAAAAAAAAAAAAAAAAAATTTCTTCTAAACCTGTTAATTTGTGTTCACTTATCATGGGAAAATAATAACAAAATTATAAGAGGCATATATTGCCCACTATAGGGCGGGGAAGTCTGGCAAAAAACAGGAGCTGATTCACCGTGCATCCCAGACGGTCTGTTGCTCGCCAGCTGTCAGGCCGGAGTTGCCACAAAGAGATAATTACCTAATTATTTCAATGTCTCTGATTGATTTTTCGTAGTTTTTTTGCTGTAATATTATTCAATAGTGTGTAGTGTGATATATTTATATAATAAAATAAGTGAATCATCGCTGAACTCAAAAATATGGGGTGCATATTGTTGATTCAATTATGTTCATCAAACAGTGAACAAATACTTTGTCGGTTGTTACACTATATACACAGGTTATATATAAGTATCTGCATGTTTTGTTCACCATAACGAACCACTAAATTGCTATTATGAGTCAAAAAGTAAGGAGGAGTGACCACCACACACCAGCCAGCTACTCACTCCCCCAAGACCTCACTTGCCCACATTCTCCTCCCACCATACTGTTTTTGCTTTTATTCACTATATACAGACGTTATATAGCCAAATATAGCTAAATATATTATATAGCTAAATAACCAGGCGCTATACAAGGGTTAAACTGTGCATGGCATTTATATAAGCCATGAGTAACACTTCTGGAGTGTGAGTTTTCAGTTGCATATATTCCTGGGGAGCATTCAGGCTTGTTCGCATTTGTGTTCCTCACGTGTGCCCCAAAGAATGAGGTGATTTGATAAAATGCTATGCCCAAGATTACCATCCGAGTGCCAGCGGGGAAGTGGTTCAAATAGCTTCGGCTATCACTTCCTTATGTCTGGTCGTGATGGTCAAGCAGATTAAGGTGTCCTGTATATACCAGTTGCGTCGCTCCTGGCAGTATATATATATATATATATATATATATATGTCGTACCTAGTAGCCAGAACGCACTTCTCAGCCTATGATGCAAGGCCCAATTTGCCTAATAAGCCAAGTTTTCATGAATTAATGTTTTTTCGACGACCTAACCTACCTAACCTAACCTAACCTACCTTTTTCGGTTACCTAACCCAACCTAACCTATAAAGATAGGTTAGGTTAGGTAGGGTTGGTTAGGTTCGGTCATATATCTACGTTAATTTTAACTACAATAAAAAAAAATTGATCTCATACATAATGAAATAGGTAGCTTTATCATTTCATAAGAAAAAAATTAGAGAAAATATATTAATTCAGGAAAACTTGGCTTATTAGGCAAATCGGGCCTTGCATAGTAGGCTGAGAAGTGCGTTCTGGCTACTAGGTACGACATATATATATATATATATATATATATATATATATATATATATATATATATATATATATATATATATATATATATATATATATATATATAATATAGATAAACATTACTGAAAATTACATCTAATGCCAAGTTCCTGAGACAATTCAATATTATCTTCTTCTCAACTGTTTCAAACATCTTAGTGTCAAAATCAACAGGAACTCATCATCCTAAATTGCCCTTCAACATCAAACTTACATTAGGAGGAGGAAACCTCCCACTACACTCTACACTTTAGGGAGCCGGTCGGCCGAGCAGACAGCACACTGGACTTGTGATCCTGTGGTCCCGGGTTCGATCCCGGGCGCCGGCGAGAAACAATGGGCAGTTTCTTTCACCCTATGCCCCTGTTACCTAGCAGTAAATAGGTACCTGGGTGTTAGTCAGCTGTCACGGGCTGCTTCCTGGGGGTGGAGGCCTGGTCGAGGACCGGGCCGCGGGGACACTAAAGCCCCCGAAATCATCTCAAGATAATCTCAAGATACACATATAAAAGACACAGTAGCCAAAGCACTGATAAATTTTCCCAATCCACCAAAAAAAAAGAAAAAAAACGACCACATCTGCATAATACATGCAATTAATAACTCTGTGATTAATAATTATAAATATGTAAACATTACAACAATGGGAACAGTAGCAGTCATCCGATGTTTACGTCAGTGCTTCAAAACTATAATGAGGCCTTTCCATACTGTCCATATTGGTGCTGCCATGATGCATCTCCCATGTGATCCTCATCCCTGGACAACAGACCAAGACCATTTGAAAAGTTAAGTGTTTCAGAGGCACTGAAAGGGATGCTACTGAGATGCCACTCAGGCACTGAAAGTGACATAGGACCTTGCCTGCAAGTGGTGACCTGAGTGAACCAGTGCTCATGGCTCAGGGATGCTACTGAGATGCCACTCAGAAAAAGTTATTTAATTCCACTAAACACTATTTTTAATTTGGAGAAGAGCCAATTAATTGTTGGTATACTGTGTATGCAGTACATTGCACTGCACACACACATACACACGCACACTATACACATTGTACACATACATTGTACAGTGATAAAAAACTTTATACTCCTTGGTATCGGGTACAGTCCAGGTATACTGTGTATGTAGTACATTGGCCCTGTATGTTCAGTGATACAAAATACACTGTTCTATGGTATACTGTGTATGTAGTATATTAGTACTGTATGTTCAGTGATACAAAACACACTATGGTATACTGTTTGTAGTACATTGGTACTGTATGTACAGTGATACAAAACACAACACTCCATGGTATACTGTGTATGTAGTACATTAGTACTGTATGTTCAGTGATACAAAACTCGCATATTGTGCTGCTGTATAAATCACTTAAAAGGAGCTTCATTGTACTTCTTATGCTCTATTTTGTTTTAATTTTTCTTTTTTCTGTTATTTAATTGTTTGTATAAAAAATGATTTAGTAGTACTCGGCTTGCGAATTTAATCTGTTCCCAGAGAAGGTTCGTAAGCCAAAAATTCGTAAATTGAAGCAAATTTTCTTATAAGAAATAATGTAAATTGAATTAATCTGTTTCACTCTCCCAAAAGAATTAACTTCAAAGTAAATTTTATACCTAATTCACCCAAATCTTTAGTACTAAAGTATGTACAAGTTTTTACTTACCTTTATTGATGACTAATATTAGCATATCGAAGACAGTGAGGAGGGGGGGGGAGGAGGAGGAGAGGTGTTAGTGTTTGGAAGGGGAGTCCGCATCCATTATAACTTCAGGCAGTGATGACTTCTCAGGGGTACACACTCTGGCACATTTTGCTTGCATACCACTAGGACCTGCTTGTGGCTCACACCTTGTTTTTCTCTCAAAAAACCTGTCTATTAACACTTGTTTTTCTATGTTGTAACACTTGTCTAAAGTGAGACATCACATTGTCATTAAAAAGGTTAACACAACAGCCTACTAAGGCTTGCTCTGGGTGAATTAATAACAACTTTTCAACATCCTCAAGTGTTTGTGCTCTTTGTTTCGTGATTGTTGATATGCCTTTTGCCAATTTAGCACTCATAATGTCCTTTTTCTTAGCAAGTACAGTGCATATCGTTGACATAGATTTGTTGTACTGCCTAGATAGTTCAACAACCTGTGTACCATTTTCATGTTTACAAATGATATCTTGTTTTTCCTCTATTGTCATTCTCACATGTGTTTTCTTGGCTTGAACCTTACCACTGGCTTTCTTGTGACCCATGGCGAGATACATAACAATAACTTTTATGTTCAAATACCCAAAAATCTGAAAAACATAGAAATTCTTTATAAAGAATTCAGGTGCGATTGTCACAGGCGGGAGGCACTGGTAAACTGAGGTGCGGTCGCTGTACCACCACGCGCTAGGTCGGCCATACGTGTATCAACAAATTTCGTTTCCCAAGGCAACGTTCATAACCTGATTCGAATTTTACGAAGAAATTTGGCTCGTAACCTGAAAAGTTTTGTAAAGAAGGGCTTTCGTAAGCCGAGGTGTCACTGTAGTTGTGATTCCAACTTCTTGGCAGCTGATTTTTCCTAGGCCTGCTCACAACCTTACTGTGGCTGAGAGGAGTAGTAGACAATTAACCCGGCTTGTTCTTAGCAGAGTCATAAGTGTTTGTCTTGTTTTCAATACTGTACTGTAATTCTGAATATCACTTAAAAGTTGAGTGGGCTTTAAGGGTTTAAGTAGACTTGTGCTGGATTGAATTAACTCGAGTGTTCCCATGCACAAGTATATCCCCTGCAGTGGCTGGTTAAAAGTGAACCTGTGAAGCTGCTGGAAATGTTCATCTTGTTCTAGTTGTTCAGACTCGGAACTATGGACCCAGCAATAGCTTATCTTAGGGAACAGCAGTATTATTCTCAGAAAGGTGCTTTTCATCTTGAGTCAAGGCCATATTTTTGTATGCATGAGAATATTAAATGTGGTGAAGTAGTTGAATGTTCACTTTGGAGATCCCTGGTACTCAACATTGACCTTGCTATAGTGTTTTGATAACCAGGGAAATAAGAGAGAAAATTAATTGGGTCTATAATTTCTTCTAGTAATATGATTTTGGAATGCTTAGCATTTCAGATTGAGGTGAACATTAACTTAACTTTCACCAGTGAGACATGCAGGTGGAAAGGTTTAAAGTTGTGCTACCACATTTTTGCATTCAGATTAACCTATTCAGTATTGTAGTTAATGTATTCTTATAATGCATGGTTATTTAATCAGATAATTGCTTGGAATAACAATGTCTTATAAATGAAACTGCAATTTTCATTTATTGGATAATTATTTCTTAATGGCTGTATTTATTCCTTTTTCAGTATGTCAGTGCTTTTCTATAGTAATGACATGTTTCTACTAATCTTAAAATTGACTTTTCATATTGATATGCAATACAGTAGACCTACTAAACATTGTCTCTTTAAACTTAAATTAGACTAAATACTTAGCAAATTCAGATTTGAATGGCATTATGCATTTAGCTTTTGTGATTGATTGTCAGTACCAAGAGACAGACTTCAATTTGTTATTTATTATTTTTTGTAGAAATAGCATCAGAGGACTGTTGCTGATAATTTGTTAATGTGTTTCTTTACCTACCAGTCCCTACCTACCACCATGATTGTTGCCATAATACTTTGTTAAACAATATACTGTACCTGTTCTTACCACCTTGCACATGTTTTTCAATGCCTCTAGCTCCTCCTTTAAAGGGTTTCAACGTAGTAAGAGTCAGCGAAGAAAAGGGCTGGGTTTAAGGTATGTGACTGCTGCATCAAGAACATGCATATAGCCTTAAGAAGACAATTGTTTACACACATCTGTGTACACACACACATGCATGAATACACCTTCCCACAGACACGTCATATACTGTCTAAGGTGGCTTATCCGGACTGAATGGGAAGGACTCCTCACCGAATAAGCCAGACATCCGGATAAGCAGAATTCTTACAGGGAAAGTCCAAAAATTACCAGTATTCAAAATTTTGGGTACCCTAGCCTACATAATTTGAATTTCTACACACAGTATAAATAAAAAATATAATTTACAAGAGAAAATATAGCTTATCTTGTTGTAGTTTGTTTTCTTGTTTAATACTGTAGATCTTGAAATGTGAAATTCTTGAAAATACATGTAACCTAATCTCCGGTTATCCGGATTTCTGTCTGGATATGGTGAAGTTTTGCCAGAAAATTATACGAACTTGATTTAAACTCTATGCCTGTCTGAGGTATCCGTCCAAACCTCCGGTTATCTGGATTACTATCTGGGTATTGCAAAGTTTTGCTAGAAAATTATCCAGATGCAGTTTTGGCCAATACCCCAAATATCTAGATAAGCAGAATTCGGATAAGTGAGCTCATACCTTATATACACAGCATTTGTGGCTAACTTTGTACTTGTGTTCTGGTGTAAAAATGTTGAAACATATAGAGCTAGGGGGCATTACATCTATTAATGGTAATAAAAGACCCAACAGCTGGAGCTCATTCCCTGTACTCACAGGTAAATGTAATTATGTGACTCATACTCAAAACAAACATTGCCATGACACTCAAAATAATCACGAGGGACATATTCCTGACATACAAGATAATCACGAGGGACATAACGCCAACGTAATCTGTGAGAAAAAAGATGGGTAGGGGGTGTCTAAAGCAAAATAATAAGGATAAATACAAAGCACTAAACAAAGATTTCCAAGAAATATTAGAAATAAATCTAGGTTAGCTTATTACATCATTGTGGTAACAAGGAAAGAAAATATCAATAATGAGCTATGCTTGTGGTAGTCTGTCTTCACAATGCTTTCTGTCATGCAAAACTTCGAAACTAGTGATGGTTTTGGCCTCCACCACATTCTTACTAAACTTGTTCAACCCTCTACCACTTTGCAAAAGTGAACTTTCAAATGTTTTTTCAACAGCTTTGTTTCCTTAGTTTGAATCTGTGTCTTTTTGTTCTTAAAGTTCCAGGTTTCAAGAATTCTTTTCTGGGGGGAGCCCCTTCGGCTTCCCCGGAGCTATTTAGGCCGATATGGAGAATAGTCATGTTCATCAGTCAATGTACATGAAGTTCTAGGCCTACTGGGGACCAACGGGGCAGAACCTGGCCCCGTCAGAGAGGCGCGAGGAGCAATGGCCTATAGACACAATTTACATATAATTTAGAAGTACTCTATGCCTGCCATCGACCGAGTCGGGCACCCAGAAAGATAGGCACCCCAGAACATCCCCCTCCCATTCTGGTTAAGAATTGCTATTAAAGCTGAACCATTGGATAGAACTGCTCATTAAGAAAAATGAGCAAACGAGCATGACGTCATCTCGTTACCAACGCGCCGCCGTCTGCGCAACTCCCCCCTCCCCAGGAGGGGGGAAAGGTTAAGCCCCAGACCTTCCACCGGCTACCCAAGCCTGTCAGTTCTTGGCTGATGTTCGTGGGCTTATGTTGTGTACCTCCAGCTCCAGACTACTTCTCTGATTCTTGCTAAAATTTGGTGGTGTGCAAGCTAGGAGTATATTCACAAGTACTGGGGCTGCATGCGCTTAGGGTCCCCTTCCCTAAGTGCCCTGTAAGTACTGCCCCTGGGGCTTGGGGCCTCCTTCCACAAGTCACCTTGGGGGCTGCCCCCGTTGTGTCATTTACTGCTCGGTACTTGTCGGCCCTTGGAGTCAGCTGGGGGGGTTCTTGCTCGTCTGTTTGTCTCTGGGTAGGGGGTGGTATTCATCACTGGTAGGGGCGCAGGGTATTACGCAGCTAGTTGTTATCTCACCCAGCAGCCGGCTCTGCATCCTCTGGGTACGCTGTCCTCTTGCAGGGTTTTTTGTATCTTTTTGTTCCTGTGCATTGGCAGGGGGGTCTGCCCATGGGCTGGGTCATATCGTATATCTATATATATATTTTGGTGGTACTCCCGCTAGGGCCCCCATGAGCGTACACGTCCCGGGGATGCAGTCTTAATGGTTAGTTTGGTAGTTCTGGGAGCTGGTTAGTAGTGCCCTGCATGGGCTTCCCTTAGCGGAGATTGAGAAGCTAAGGGCCCTGGGAAACCCCGCGGGGGTTCTTGGGTTCGATGGATGTGTCCCCTGAGTTTCTTCTCGGTTTGTGCGAGTTTGTAGGTTGCTCTGTCCCCTTGTCTCCGGGGGAAAACTCACTGTTTCTGCCTCCGTCATGCTGCCTGTTGGGTCGGTGACACCTTTGACCCAGAGTCCTGCAAGCTCTAAATAAATAAATAAAATACATAAATGTTTATTCAGGTAAGGTACATACATACAAGAGATTTTACAAAAATGGATAGATTTATAGATAGAGCTAGTACAGTGGAACCTCTATTAACGAGTTTAATCCGCTCTGGCACCGAGCTCGTTACCTGGAAAACTCGTCTTTGGAAACAAATTTCCCCATTTAAAATAAAGGAAATAAATTTAATCCGTTCCACTCCCAAAAACATCCATACTTGTATGATTTTTTTTATGTAAATATAATATTGCACATGTAAATATAATTGTTTTGTTGTAGTGTTTTAATATTTACTTTACCTTATGAAGAGTAGTTGCTGGCTTGAGGGAGACGATGGGGAGGTGGGAAGGATGAGAGGGGTTATGGTGTGGAAGGAGAATCCACCTCTTGAGTCAGGCGGACTCTCTCTTCTTGGGAATTTCACCCAAATTTCATTTCAAATGTCACACAAGGATGCGTTAGACCAGCACCAAATAAAAAACTACGTCGATTACACTCGTTGTGTCAACAATATAATAGTCTTACCATGAAGATACAATACAATGCCATTTTCTCAAATAGGCAATGTGGTTATTAAAGAAAACGGAAATTTCATGGCAAACATGTATACAATCCCCAAGTCGATCGGATAAGAATTGGATTTTATAGAAATATTTGCTCAAATGACGCTTGAGCGCGGTGTTTGGGTGCATTCAAGAGAAAAAAAGTGTGTTACGTTCAAGCGACATATACCTGCGAAAGTGATAACACTTTCATAAAGTGTTATCACAAAGTGATAAATTAATTAAACATTTTCACACACCGAGTTGTCACTGCTTTATCAGGGCAGCTTTTCCAAGAATGCGTTCACCTTTTCAAACATTCCAAACACTTCCCCTGATCTCAGTGGAAGAGGCAGCATCCTCCCTTACCTCCTCATTCCCTTACTAATGGTGTAAATTGTTGATGAGGACCTGCCATACTTCCTTGTGAGATCAATCACACAGACACCACACTCATGCTTCGCTATAATTTCCTTCTTTGAATCCACAGTAATTGTGTCTTTCTTCCTCTTGACAACACTATCTTTAGCAAGCAGCAGCTTTGGAGACATCGTGTGTTACAAATTGTAGTCGCAAAACCACTAAAAACCCAAAGAAAAGCTCAAATAAATCCAGAGGGATGCTTGTCGTGTGAGATACAACAACACTGGCGTCGGAGGCGTCCGAGAATTTGCGAGAACCCGCGAGATGCTAGGAAGCGCCATGTGGTTTCACTCGTTAATAGAGGCGAGCTCGTCAATAGAAACAAATTTGCTGCGAGTGGCTTGCTCGTTACTGGACAAACTCGTTAATAGAGCCACTCGTTAATAGAGGTTCCACTGTACATACAATGCCTAAAGCCACTATTACACAAAGCGTTTCGGGCAGGAAAACATTAATGACTAAAACTTAAAACTAATTGAGTATAAAGAATAAAAAGTGTTGAGAACAAATAAAAATAAAAAAGGGGAGAACATGGCTGAAAAAGCAGCACAAATACAATTTGGTCGACAAACAGCATTGTTTAAAAAAAACATACATGGGTTGACAATAGAGGGGTAAGGTAGGTCACAGGGAATTTATTAGGTAGTGCTTCGTTTTTATCTTAAACTGGTTGAGGGAGGTACAGTCTTTAACATGTTTGGGAAGGTCATTCCACATTCTGGGTCCCTTGATTTGTAGAGCATTTCTAGTTTGATTAAGTCGTACTCTTGGAATATCAAAACTGTATTTGTTTCTGGTGTGGTGTTCATGGGTTCTGTTACAACCTTCAATGAAGCTTTTGTGGTCAGGACTGGCATTACAGTTCAGCGTTTTATATATGTATAATACACATGAGAGAATGTGCAGTGAATTAATGTCTAACATATTCATTTAATAATAAAAGGATAGACTGGGAGATAATAAACAGGGAACTTACAAACATTCCATGGGGAACTGTTCTAAATAATACAAGTCCTACAGAAGGAATAGAAAAACTTACTTCAGAAGCGTATCAAGTCTGTCTGAAACATGTTCCTTTGAGGAAAGCCAGAAAGAGATCTAACGTAGAAAGAGAACGCAGACGACACTATAAACGCAGGAAAAAAATAACGGAACTGCTTATGCAGACACGAATTTCCCGTCAAAGAAGGAATAATTTAAATAGGGAGATTGAAGAAATCGAGCGGAAATTGAAACACTCATATGAAACTGAAGAAAGGCAGTTAGAACAGAAAGCAATTCAGGAAATAAAGAAAAATCCAAAATATTTTTTCTCATATGCGAAATCAAAAGCAAAAACCACTGCCAGTATTGGACCTATTCGTACAAGTGAAGGTTCATACACGGAGGATGACAAAGAAATTAGTGAAATCCTAAAAAAGCAGTATGAGGACATGTTTAGCACTCCAATAAACAACATGAAGGTGGAAGATCCAGACAATTTCTTTATGCGGGATATTCAAACCCCGGTAAATATAACTGATATAAACACGAGCGCACTAAATTTTGAAAAAGAAATTGAAAACATGCCCATGCACTCGGCCCCAGGTCCAGACTCATGGAATTCAATATTTATAAAGAAATGCAAAGTGCCGTAGCGCAGGCACTCAGTATAGTGTGGAGGAAGAGCTTGGACACGGGGGAGATACCAGATGCACTTAAAGTAGCAGACATAGCCCCTCTACACAAGGGAGGGAGCAAAGCATTGGCAAAAAATTATAGACCAGTTGCACTAACATCGCACATCATAAAAGTATTTGAGAGAGTGATTAGGAGTCAGGTCACCAATTTCATGGAGACCAATGATCTTCATAACCCAGGCCAACATGGATTTCGAGCGGGAAGATCGTGCCTCTCACAGCTACTTGAGCACTACGACAAAGTCACTGAGGCATTAGAAGAGAAACAGAATGCTGATGTGATATACACGGACTTCGCAAAGGCCTTCGATAAATGTGACCATGACGTGATAGCACACAAAATGAAGTCAATGGGAATAACCGGTAAAGTAGGACGCTGGATACTCAGTTTTCTGTCAAACAGGACTCAGCGAGTAACTGTCAACCATATAAAATCTAGTCCAAGTGCAGTGAAAAGCTCTGTACCTCAGGGTACAGTCCTTGCACCACTGCTTTTCCTTATTCTCATATCAGATATAGACAAAAATACAAGTCACAGCTTCGTATCATCCTTTGCAGATGACACAAAAATCAGTATGAAAATTACCTCGGCTGAGGACATTGAAAAACTTCAAGCTGATATTAATAAAGTTTTCGACTGGGCATCAGAAAATAACATGATGTTTAACAGTGATAAATTCCAGGTACTCAGGTACGGTAAAAATGAGGACCTTAAACATAATACAGAGTACAAAACACAATCAAATGTACCCATAGTAGGAAAACAGCATGTAAAGGATTTGGGAATAATAATGTCTGACGACCTAACGTTTAAGGAGCATAACCAAGCAAATATTGCGACAGCCAGAAAAATGATAGGATGGATTACGAGAACTTTCAAATCCAGGGATCCCATCACAATGGTTGTACTCTTCAAGGCACTTGTGTTGTCCCGTCTTGAGTACTGCTCAGTACTCACTTCCCCCTTCAAAGCAGGAGAGATTGCTGAAATAGAGGGAATACAGAGAACATATACGGCACGCATAGACGCAATAAAGCACCTAAATTATTGGGATCGTCTCAAAGCCCTCCAAATGTACTCACTAGAAAGAAGACGAGAGAGATATCAAATAATATACACCTGGAAGATACTGGAGGGCCAAGTACCAAATCTACACAGTAAAATAACAACGTACTGGAGTGAACGACATGGAAGAAAATGTAGAATAGAACTAATGAAGAGCAGAGGTGCCATAGGCACAATCAGAGAACACTGTATAAACATCAGAGGTCCGCGGTTGTTCAACGTCCTCCCAGCAAGCATAAGAAATATTGCCGGAACAACCGTGGACATTTTCAAGAGGAAACTAGATTTATTCCTCCAAGGAGTGCCGGACCAACCGGGCTGTGGTGGGTATGTGGGCCTGCGGGCCGCTCCAAGCAACAGCCTGGTGGACCAAACTCTCACAAGTCGAGCCTGGCCTCGGGCCGGGCTTGGGGAGTAGACGAACTCCCAGAACCCCATCAACCAGGTATCAACCAGGTATCAGAGATTTGAGTAGGGGTACCGAGTGATATCTGGGGCCAGAGTTGGATATTGTCCTAAGAGCAGCTTTGTGTTGAGTAATTAGAGGACGTAAATGATTTTGGGTAGTAGAACCCCAAGCACAAATACCATAGTTGAGATATGGATATATGAGGGAGTAATAGAGAGTCACCAGGGCAGGGCGGGGTACATAATATTTGATCTTAGAAAGAATGCCAACAGTTTTTGAAACTTTTTTGATATATTTAGAATGTCTCTGTTGCTTGTTAATGACTCACCGGGTCCTCCTGCCGATGCATCTGGGTCTGACCAGTGGGTTCCCTTTTTCCTGCTTGTACAGCTGTTCCGGCTTCTTCTTGTGAGGCCGGGGTCTTGGAGGACGGCTTGGTCCCAGGGCCTGCGATGGAAACCTTGGGGCTGAGGAGGGATTAACTTGGGGGCCTATTGGACTCTGCTTGGGGTTTTGTTCCTTCCCAGCAGGGCTTGTTGTTACAGGGAGGGGAGGTTTTCCTTTCTTCCCTTCTGCGTATGACTTGGATATGGTGTCAGTCCCTTCCCGGGTTCCATTCCGGGTCCCTTCGGGTTCGTTGGTCCCGTCCTCCCAGAGGTTTTTGATTTCCCACATTCTAGCGCATGAGGTGTGGGCAGCCATGGCTTCTTACCTCCTGCGTGACTCGGATTATGGCTCTTTGATGAATCCTGCTTCTTTCAAGTTTGGGGCTTCCTCCCCTTTCTGGGTTCGTTATGAGGTTCCTGAGTCATCCTGGCTAGCGGACTGTTCTTTCTTTATTTTGGATGCTTAGCATGCGTTCTGTCGTTCCTGCATGCTTGTATGGCGGGAGATTCTGACGATTTCCCAGGTTTACCTGGGAGGCAACCCTGAACACATCAACGAGTGCTTGTTCGCTCTGGTCCTTCCTTGTGATGTTGGTGTGCAGCAGCTTCACATGCAGGTTCCTTCCCTTTTGGCTGTGCTGGTTGCTGAGGACTTGCGTGCTCGTGGCTCCTTGGCCTCTATTTTGCAGTTCCTTTCCCTTCTTGAGCTGTCCTCAGATTGGCTTGAGGAGGATGTCGAGGCATTTCAGGCTGTACCAGGGTCGAATGTGTTGTTTTCAGCGGTTCGTATGTTGTCTGCTCTGTTGCAGCTGTTTGCACCAATTCTGTGGGATGCGGTGTTTCTGTTTTTTGCTTCCCGTCTTACATGTCGACAGGTGGTGCTGGCTTCATCTGTGGAATCTGCTTGGGCCCTGGCTCTTCGGTTGTCTTCTCCCGATTGACCCTAACTGTTTGGGGAGGAGGCGATCGCACAGTACAGTATATGCAGGCGGCTTCACTTCTTGTCGTCCGATGTCTGACTTGTTGGTCTTCTGGGTTCCCCGCGGGAGGTTCTTCCCAGGAGGGTCGTGCCAGGACTCACAGTTCCTTCTGTCGTGGTAGGCAGGTGGTGTCAGTTTCAGGACGGATGTCGCCTCTAGACCCTTCTTCTGGTCGGCGTGGTGTTCACTCTGTTTCGAAGTCGGGTTTCGGTAAGGGGCGCCGTGTTTGCTGCCGTGTTTGGTAATGTCTTGGGCTCATTTCCGGCATGAGGATTTGGGGGTCGCACAGGTTTCTGGCTACCTGTTCATTTGTGAATGTGTCTGCTCCTGTGCATTCTTGTGTTGCTTTGGGTTGCAGGTTGCTGCCTGTTGTCTCGACTTCACTTTGCAAAGTTTGTGGCGACCGCCTCCCAGGTCAGCCCTTTCTTTTCTTTCTCTTTGGATATGAAGCTTCTGGGAGCCGTAAGGGCTCCCCACAGAAAACCAGCGTTGAATGTAATGAAACGCCATTTTCTGGGTGAGCCCAGGACGCTCTCTGGCAATCCACCCTCCCACCGGTCGGTGTTTTTTTCGTGTGGGTTGAAGCTTAACTTCCGAACTGGTGCTAGGCAGTCGGCCTGGTGAGGTCTGGGGCCCCCCCTCCCCCCTCTCGGGGCGTGGAGGGCTGCGCGGACAATCGGCGCGGCAGTGAAGTGTGATGTTTGCTTGTTTGCTTGGGATTGTAGGGAGTTTCTACCTCTCTGTTAGGTTTTTTGTTTTAGTTTCTTACCATGTGGGGTTTGTTTTGTTATGTCTACCTTTCTGGGTGCCTAACCCCGGTCGATAGCAGATAAGGAAAACCCCAACCACAAGGAGGTTTTCCAGGGGCCATTGCTCCCTAAAACCTCTCTGAAGTGGTCAGGTTCTGGCGCTGGTCCCTGGTAGGTCTGAACTCCATAGCTAATGTCCCGGTCTAATATACATTAGCCTAATAAGCTCCAGGGAGCCTCCGGGGCTCGCCCAGAAAATGGCATTTCATTACATTCAACGCTGGTTTTTCAAGATGGCTGCCTCTCACTGGAGGTCCCAGGAGGTAATCTCGTTACCCAACCTACCGCGTGCGTTTTGAGTCTTACAATATCTAAAAATCTTTTTTTTTTTGGCTTGCTCAACACCTACCTCAAGTAATGTTGGGTGGTTCAGTGCAGTGGTTAAGGCACCAAGTGCCTTAGGCCCTATGTGCAGTACACTGGTATATTTCAGCATTTATTTTTTTTTCGAACATTTTTCATTGTCAAAATAATTGGTACAGTAATTAAGATTGATTATAAAAATATCTTGCGGACTCTTTCTCATGCTGATTTGGTACACTTTATGGTTCCCTTTGTCAGGGATAGGAAGTCCGTTAAGCTTATCAAAGTACTCCCTAGACCAGCTTCGGATGTCCTTTTCCAGGATGTAACCCACAACAGTTGCCTAGCTCCTGGGTGAAGAGAGGCATCAAGTAAAACTGAAACCTGACCAACACACTCTGTTCTGCATGGGGATGGAACCGTGGATTCTCAGTTGTGAGCCAAGCTCCCCAAATGCTAAATACATTATGGAATTTCTGTTCATTTTAGCACTGCTTTTCAAGGCAATAAGACTGCTGTAATTTTTATTGCCGTTTGCTCTTGGAAATTTTGCTTAACATTTGTTGCATGATCAATGGTTTACTGTGATAATTGGATATGTCTGTAGGGTTTCTAATGCACCAAGCTGAACCTGGCCTTGTTATGTTACTTGAGAGACTACATAAACAAGTATTCCTATACTGTCCATTATGTGCTCACTGTTGCTCAAAGTAATTATCATTTATTTAGTCAGTAATTATAACTGGGAACCACCATTCCAATGTTGTATTTGGCTTTTTGAGAGTTTTTCTCATTCGTTTCATTTTTATCATATAATGGATGGTTTATATTGATGCTTTGCATAATTTACATTGTCATATCCAAGGTATGAAATTAAGAGAAGTTTAATCCACCCCAGAAGCTCTCTGGAAGTGTCTCGTGCACTCAGCCACTCTGCTCCGTCAGCAATAAACTTGGAGGTGGCCCAGGTGAAGTTTGAGGAAGAGGTTTCCATCTGTTCTGAGTTCTCACAGTCTCAAACATCATACCTGGAGGATGAGGAGGACCAGAGGTGAGAGCTATATAATTCTCAGATTTCCAAAAAATTATTTGGATTTTTGGAGTTGGTGGAAATCATGGAAATTTTATGAAACACAATAGAAAGTTATTCTGCTCTATTTATTCATCTTATTTTGTGAGCCTATGTTCACACACACTATATATCATACCTCAGATAACTGTCTTCTATTATTTTGCTTGAAACAGTATTAGTTTATTGCAGCTTATTTTGGTATTGCCAGCTGGAATACCATACGATCTTTTTTTACTGATGTTTCTGTATGATGTCTTGAGAATGCTGCAACACATTTAACTGATACTCTAAGCACTTGTGTATAACCAAATGTAGCTTCTAACAAAACTGTACAGTGTACTATAATGACAACTATTGTGTCTTGAGCTACAGGTTCTCTGATGTTACTTGAGTCAGAGCCCTTGTGGTCCTCCTTGGCCTCATATCACCCTGCAGGCTTTTGTTGCCAATCTTATCCTTCATCATGATTAAGAATTTCTCAGATGGTCGTGTCACATATTTATGAAAGGAAGGCAACGGTGAGTGGAACTAAAGCATCTCGCTTGCAATAATACTAGTGACCAGCATGATCAGCATGCAATGAAAGTGATAATTTGATTTGGAAGGCAAACCAGGTTATAACTTGCTAGGAAACAAAGGTTACCCCAACTGCCACCAGCTGACAGTATTCATCACTATATTGTCTACATAAATGATCTACCAGTTGGTATACAGAATTATATGAATATGTTTGCTGATGATGCTAAGATAATAGGAAGGAAATTTAGATGATTGTCATGCCCTTCAAGAAAACCTGGACAAAATAAGTATATGGAGCACCACTTGGCAAATGGAATTTAATGTTAATAAATGTCATGTTATGGAATGTGGAATAGGAGAACATAGACCCCACACAACCAATATATTATGTGAGAAATCTTTAAAGAATTCTGATAAAGAAAGAGATCTAGGGGTGGTTCTAGATAGAAAACTGTCACCTGAGGACCACATTAAGAACATTAAGAGTTTTGTGGGACTTGTTCCCCCCATGAACTCCTGGTCACTTATTTTTCTCGCTCAGGATATTCAGGAGTTTCAAGAAGTGAGGGCTTTGCATCACATGTTTTCGGTCCTGCAACACACAAGATTGTGTGCCCGGTTGGTTGCCCCAGAGCTGCCTTGTTTGTGTTTTAGGAACTCAGATTTGGAGGTGTTGGTCAATTCAACTTTGGTTCCATCTGCACTTCCTTTTCCTTTCCGGGTTGGTCTGGTTCAACCTTCTCCTCAGCAGTTCACGTCTGATCTTTTTGATGCATGTGTATCACCATTTGTATGGCGATCAAGTGGCTAGTTTGATGGTGTCCCACCTGTGGTCTTCTCAGGGACAGTATGAGGGTTTCATTCACCTGGACTCTAGGAGACTTAAACCGCGTACCCCACACGTGTGAGGCCAAAGCTCAATCAACTGGGCTATGAGTAGTCTTAATAAGGAAAGATTCTTGAGGCAACTACTGCTGCCAAGCTGGATTTTTTTACTTTCCCAGTGTGGAAGTGTGGATGACAATTTACATAGCATGAATATGGCTCACTAATTCCTCTGAACTTCAGTAGTATTAAGGAAAAGTCGGCCCAGGTGAGCTGGGCTGGCTCCTCCTCCCTCCCTCCCAGTAGGGGAAATGGAACTAACAAGCTGGGGGTTAGTTGGATGAAGTTATGCTAGTTTTTCTTTTTGGGAAGTTATTTTAGTATTTTGAGAGTGCTGGTGTCATTTTTCAACCATACAGTAATCTGTTTTGGTTTGCCTGCCTTTCTGGGTGCCTCCCTGGTTGATGGCAAGATGATAAACTTTAAATGTAAAGTGTTTGTGAGGCATTGCTTCCTGAGCCTCTGTGAGGGGGCTGGGTTCTGGCTCGCGGTTCCCGGTAGGCAACAAGAACTCTTCTACTGATGACTCCAAGTAGTATGGCACTCATTCAGTAAGCTAGCTTCAGGAGGCCTCCGGGGCTCACCCAGAAACTGGCATTTCATTACATTCAAAGCTGGTTTATTGTTTGATAATTTAAACATTCATTGAGGCACCATCTTTGGTGTTTTAATTTATTCATTAACTGAACTTCTTATTTTACAGACTTGGAGGGTTTGGTTATAATTGTCCTGGAGGCACAAGTGAGGAGTGCATGATAGTGGCTGAAGAGGAGCACGTGTGTGATGTGGGGGACACCAACAGTGAACACCACTCTCATGTATCGGGGCAGTCTCGGTCCCCTTCAAGAGGTACAGACAGTACCGAGCACTCTGCATCATTTAATTTTGATATGTCTAACCGGGTAAGAAAAAAAAAATTGTTGACTACATCATCAGTGTGAACTCTGTTGCTCTATATCTTGGTACAAAGTTCTGTATAGCAACTTAGGTATATTAGTGTAGTTTTCTGCAGAGCAACTTATATTCATTCAGTATTCTGCAGGGCATTGTAGGTATATTTGTGTAGTGTTTTGCAGGGCTACTGAGGTATACTGGGGGGTAGTGTTCTGTAGAGCAACTTAGCTATATTTATTCAGTGTTCTGCAGGGCATTGTAGGTATATTTGTGTAGTGTTTTGCAGGGCTACTAAGGTATATTGGGGGGTAGTGTTCTGTAGAGCAACTTAGGTATACAGTATTGGGGTAGTGTTGTGCAGAGCAACTTAGGTATATTTGGACAGGGTTCTGCAAAGCAACTTAGGAATACTGATGTAGTATTCTGCAGAGCAACTTAGGTATATTGGGGTAGTGTTGTGCAGAGCAACTTAGGTATATTGGGGCAGCATTCTGCAGAGCAACTTAGGTATATTGGGGCAGCGTTCTGCAGAGCAACTTAGGTATATTGGTGTAGTGTCCTGCAGAACAACTTAGGTATATTGGTGTAGTGTTCTGCAGAACAACTTAGGTATATTGGGATAGTGTTGTACAGAGCAATTTGGGTATATTGGTATATTGATCTGCAGAGCAACTTAGGTATATTGATAAAGTGTTCTGCAGAGAGGGTCCGTCTAATTACCGCAAACTACCACAAGCTACACAAAGCTTCCTGGCAATACGTTAGTAATGAATAAATATGATATGTTAGGTTAGGCTGACCTAACCTAACCTAACCTAACCTAACCTAACTTAACTTAACCTAACCGACGCTTGGATCGTCGACTTGATTTGGCGTCACCAGCTCTTTATTTTTGTCTAATTTCTTTATAAAAAGATACTTTTTCAGATTAAAATTATGTTTTTTTCGTGTTGTACATTCAGCACCAACATTATAATGAGTAAATATATCATATTTATTCATTACTAACGTATTGCCAGGAAGCTTTGTGAAGCTTGTGTAGCTTGCGGTAATTAGACGGACCGTGCAGAGAAACTTGGGGTCACAAATCAGTGTGTGCATCAGAGGAACTCCAGTATATTTCAAATGCCTAAGTATTGTAGAACAGGTTGATGACCGTGAGTGGTGATTGTGTAAACAGTGCAGACGACGAAATTCAAGATGGCCGCCAGCAAGAAGACAAGACAATAGAGCTTGATTTTGGTGGATTAAAAGAGGGAAAGAATTAACACTTTCGTCTGGCAGGGACAGATATTGCATCCATAAATAACTTGAAAGATGTCCGGCGGTGATGCATTTTGCGTCCAAAATTTAAATATTTGTTAAAATTCCATTTTTTCCTGGTCATGTGGTTGGAAGCATTCTATGTCTGCCATCGACTGGGTCAAGCACCCAGAAAGGTAAGTGTCCCCCCAAAAAAAACTATTCAGGTGAAAATTGCTACCAAAAGCTGAACAAGTGAATAGAACTCCCCAAAAAGAAATGAGCAAATGAGCATGATGTCACCTGTTGCTGCGTCGTTGTCTGCACAGCTCTCCCCTCCCTGGGAGGGGGAAGGGGGAGCCCCAGACCCCCGCCCGGCTATCCACCCTTCAGTTCTGAGGCTGATGCTATGGGCAACGGTCGTGTGCTCCGGCTCCAGTAGTTGTTTCAGCACTGTACCTAGAGTATGGTGACTCTTCTAGGAGGAGCGTGAGCTGGGAGTGATTCCCCAGTACTCGGACTGAATGCACCTAGGGTTTCCATCCTTAGGTGCCCTGTAAGTACTGCCCTTGGGGCTTGGGGTTACTTTCCCCAAGTTCCTTGGGTTCTGCCTCTGCTAGGCCGTTTACTGCTTGGTTTTTGGCCACCCTTTGTGTGCTAGGGTGTTCTGTCTCCCTTGTTCGCCTTAGGGTGAGGGGCAGTTTTGCGCTGGTAGGGGCGCAGGGTATTGTGCAGCTTGTTTTCACCAATCATAGCAGGCCGGCTCTGTTCCGCCTGGGTTCGCTGTCCTCTTGCGGGGTTTTCTTTTTCTTTTTGTTTGTCTGCCTGGTGGGGGGTGGGGGGGAAGTCTGCCTTGATTCTTGCCCTCCCTGTGCACTGAGTACTCTTCCTTCTTCCGGTGGTTCCCCCTGCTGTCCCCGTGAGTGTACACGTTCCAGGGGTTCAGTTCTTAGAAAGTTGTTTGGTAGACTTGGGCACCAGTTAGCAGTACCCTGCCTGGAATTACCTGGGCGTGAGCCCTTAAACACTCAGGACCCTGGGAAACCCCTAGGGGGCATGTAGGTCTGATGGATGTGTCCCCGTAGTCCCCCCTTGCTTTGTGCGAGTTCAAGGGTTGCTCTGTCCCCTTGTCTCAGGGTGACTCTCACTGTCTTTGCCTCCATCTCTCTGCCTTTGGCTCGGAGTCCTATGAGTTTTGTTGATTGTTTGTGACTTGGTTACCCAGTCTTATGCGGACTATAAGGGTACAGGCAGCACGGGCATTGCATGTTGCGTTTCGCTGGGCAACGCGCTAGGTTGTTTGCTCCCCGAAATCCCCGAGGCTGCCCTGTTTTCGTTGGTATGACGGGGCTTGGGGGTGTTGGTTGCTTTGGTTTTGTTTCCTTCCACGCCCCCTTGTTTTTTCCCCGCTATGGTCACCCCTTCCTCCCTGCATCCGGATCCTTACCGTCTGTGGGTTCGGAGTCGGGACGGGGCTTCGGTGGTCTTGAGACTCGGGCGGTCTTGGGGACTTTCCCTTCCGGGGTAGTGATGGGGGCATTCGAATCTGTTCCTCCAGCCGTGTTGTATGAGTCTGCCAGTGGGCTCCCTTCCCTTAGTATTTGTTCGGCTGCCCCGGCTTTTCTTGTGTGGCTGGGGCTTTGGGGGGGACAAGTTGGCCCCAGGACTGCTCTTGTGGGTTCCCTGGGCTGGTGAGGGGCTGACTTGGGGAAGGCCTTGGGCCCTGTTGGTCCCCGCCGGGGTTTTTCTACCCTCTGGGCGGGGCTTGCGGTTACAGGGAATGGGGTTTTTCTTCCTCCCTTCTCCATATGTGTTTTTGGGTGTCGGCCCCTCCCTAGGTTCGGTTCCTTGTCCCATGGATCCGTTGGTTCTGTCCTGTCAGTGGGTATGTTTCTCCACCCTTCTTCTTGGGACGGACTTTCACCCTCATGTTCCCCTCTTTTCGGGGTTTCTGCATGACTTTTGGTCTCAGGTGCGACTAAGCCCTATGTGCCTTTGTGCTTTACGCTTGCTTCTATATGTTCTCAAAGGTTCTGGAAGGTTTTTGCTTCTTCCCATATTATTGGAACGTCTATCGTCTTCCGGTGTGGCTTCCCGCCGGTCCTTTCTAGGGCTTGTTGGTCCTCCTCTGTCCTTCTTCTCAGTTTTCGGTCCTGTTTTGTTCTTTCGTGATTGTATCTTCTCTCCATGCTCTGTCTCGGCACTGCTCATTTTTTTCTTTCAATTTTCTAGTTGGCGCCTTCCCGCTGAGCAAATTGTGGGATTCGGCCCTCCTGTCCAGTTCACATTGGGCTACTTGTAGCCCACGTGACGAGCTATGCTAGGTATGTTTTGCTACTTACTACTTTTTTTGGTGACTGTTAAACGCTGCTCTATGTACTCTGAACAGGGACTGAATCGTTAACAACCATATTTTGTCTAGTTTTATAGTCATATTCGTGATTTTTATTTCTTCAGCTCGTGCCTTCTGGCAGCCCAAATCTGGCATCCCTGGGTCTGTACATGCGTCGTGGTAGTTTGTTTTGATATGTGTGGTGTGCACGTGTGCTGGTGTTCTGCTTCCTTTTCGCTTGGGTGCTTCGCCTCTCGCTTCTCTCCGTTCTCCAGTCCGTTGCCCCATAGCTACTGGGGGTGTTCTGGATTGCCGCTATGGGAAGGACGCCGGGTTCTCCCTGTGTATGGGTGTGGGGCGCTTCCTTCGCCTCTTCCCTACTCTTCTCCTGCATGTGAAGCTTTGCCTTTTTCCACTGGCGGTGCTCCCGGCATCTTCTCGGCTATGTGGTGTCCTGACACGTTCGTGCCTACATTCTACAGGTGAGTTTTTATGGTCTGGCGTCTCTTTCGACCAGGCGCTGGTTCGTGGTTTTGGATACGAATATAAGCCCATCGGACCACAGGTGACTGCAGCAGGCCTTGTGGGCCATACAAGGCAGCTCCTATTTATACCCATCCAGTCCCTCTCTTATGCATGTCCAACCCATACTTGAGTCCATCAGGGGCCCCTCCTCCACCAGGTTACGAGGTACAATGGTGGGGGTGTATGTTATGGGGTAAATGTTCCTGTGTCAGGATGTTATGGGGTGCCATTTTGCTTCAGTTTTCTTACTGTGGATGAGTTTTGGGGATTGGTTGTGGCATTTTGTTTGGCCCTTCCGTGCTTCTTCCTGGGGCCTTACTTGTTCGTCTGGGTTAATTGTTGCAAGGGGGTCACGGCTCCATTTTTCTTCGTCTTATCTGGGTCACTCATTCCTTGCCCATCTTACAATGCCTGGTTTGGCCCTTCCATATTCATTGGATCTCTGTACTTACCTAGTTGTACTTCCTTAGTTGTGTTTGCGGGAGTTGAGCTCTGGCTTTTTGGTCCCGCTTCTCACCTGTCAATCGCTAATGTGCAGGTTCCAGAGCCTGCAAGGCTCTGTCATATCTACGCTTGACGTTGTGTGTGGTGTTATCCTCCTCCACATCGCTTCCTCATGCATTCCGTTTGTCTCCTACTCTGATACTGCAATACTTCTTTCTGACGTCTCTATGGGACCTTTAGGCTCTCATTCCACTGGTGTCTTCTGGTGTGTGTGTGTGCCCCTGGGGTCCCGTAGTCGGTGTTTCTCTAGCCTATCAATTCCTTTGAGATTCTTGTGTTGGGACATGTCAAACAAATCTGTGTGTTGTCGGCATGGCTTGTTGGGGACATGACCAGCGGCTCTATGTTGTTGGTCGTATCCCTTTCATTCCCATTTGCTACTTGTCTTCTTCGTTCCTCACCTTC